TTTCCCTTCCCTGTTCTTTCTCAACGTGGTGTGTCTGATATCAAACCCGGCAATGGTTGCGTATGCATGGTGGAATTCTATTCCTTCTTCTAATGTTTGAAATTGTTGGCCGACATAGGGTGTGCTTTCATCTGGACAAATAGGGAACCACCGTTTTGTTCCCTTTGGTAATACAACCATGTCACACTCTGTTAGTCCTTCTACGTTATGGTCTTCAGCTATACAAACAAAAGGGTTATTGCGTTAACGATATTTGTTCCGTAAGTCACTGATGCTTCAGATAGTATTACAGAAAATGTAATCAGAAACAAATGAAAATAATGCACACATTCCCTTCCAAATATCCCCACGTGACAGGTCGGCAAGGGTGTGTACAGTCACCCTACTGTGTGTGCACAGGTGGAGCTACGGAGGTGCATGTAGCGTTAATGAAATCTAAATTGCATGAAGCGTAATTAAATCTAAATCAAATTTCCTTAGCCTTAGCACATTCAACGCGCGTTAATTGCATCTAACTTGCATAGCCTTAGCACAGTTTGGTGTCAGATGATGAATGGCAGAGGTCCATTACCAGATGTTTAAACAAGTAATTGTTGTTACTAGAATGTACATATACATTGCTGGGTGCACAGACGCCGCAAGCCGTGTGCACAATCTCTTCAAAACTTTCTCCTACGGTTCTGATTTATGCGGATTTGTGTTAACCCGATTCACAATACTCGACTCCCAGTAATTCGCATTCCTTTTGCCCCCGAAAAACAGTTATGAACATACAAATCACAAAAAGGGGATGCGGCAATATTGGTTACATACAAGTCAACAAAATTAAAAACTTACAATACTTATGTACCTGGGTTTTCACCATCAATGTAGTCTGGGTTTTGGTCGCAATTTCTTGGGTGTGTCTCATCATGGTGTCTGGGATTGCTGCGGATAATTGCACGACCGGAGGACTTTCGATCGGATGACTGCACGGCCGGGAACTTTCGAACACTGGAGATGCGTTACTAATGTGTATTCTATTAGTACTATACTTGCTCTCCTAATTTCTTGCATTATATGCCGATCATATCTCTTTTCCTTAATTACATTGTATACGATTTCCCATTATTGCCCTTGTATTCACTAATTCAGAATCTTCAATTAATTAGTCTCATTGCATCTTATCCATCCATCTAAACACATCCTAAGGCTATATTTTGTCCTCAAGTTTGTATTTTAAGGGAGTTTGCATGTAAATGCTTCCATATATATATATATATATATATATATATATATATATATATATATATATATATATATATATATATATATATATAATTGTATAATTCATATTAATATTATTGAGGTAAAAATTATAGAAATGATAATTTACTAAATATAACTATGGTAACATTTTAATTAAAACCTAAATGAATTCAAACTTACCATTGAAGGATGTAAGAAAAAATATTGTGTATGCATGTACATGGTAATAATAATGTGGAAAGATAACAGAAGTTATAACAACAGGGATATTTTTTTCCAAAAAATTATGTAGTACAACTTTTATAGCACAAGGTACAAAAAAAGTTAACGGAAAACATGGACATAAACCAGGGGTATAACCTGGATTGAAGCTTATTATGTTTTTAGATATATACATATATACATATATATATACATACATACATACATACATACATACATACATACATTTATATATATATATATATATATATATATATATATATATATATATATATATATATATATATATATATATCTTACATTTGGTCATCCACGTTCACACACCTCCTTTTATTTTTTAAAAAATTAACTGCAAATTACTTGGTTTAATATTACTTATAATAATAATAATCTACAAAAATGCTTTTCCAATACTGTCTTGCATCTCAGGTTAGCCCTATGCACACCCGGAGAGCAATCCGGGTGCGTTTGGTGAGAACTTATAAAGTCCCTGAATTACGTGGAGGAGCACCGGCAAGCACGATAATCCAAATGTTGAATTATTAAAAAAACATTTTGCTATTACATAGAATAAGAAGATTATACAATAATCCTAAATTATTAAGAGGCCATATTTAATGACCGTGCATCGCACGAGAAACTTACTAGTTATTATTATAACATTGTCTCTTTTAATCCAAGTTGGATATATTGGTCATCCCAATTTCCTTCTTTAATTTGAGAAATGTCTCCGTCTTCAACAGCTTCGTATAGATATCTGCAACTTGACATTCACTTGAACAATACTAAATGTTGATTTATTTTTCAACAACCAACTCTCTGATTTTGTGATACTTGATATCAATGTGTTTGCTACGACCATGAAAGATTGGATTTTTGGACAACGAAATTGCTGATTTGTTGTCAAAAAAATAAAAATAGTTGTAGGTACTTCCTGGTTGTGTTGTAGAAATTCCAAAATTCTCCTCAGCCAAACTGCTTGAGTAGCACAGTTTGCTGTTGCAATATATTCTGCTTCTGCGGTTGAAAGTGCTACAATCTGCTGCTTCTTTGAAGAAAAAGGAAATATAGCTGAACTAAGATAGAAGGCATACCCTGATGTGTTTTTTCTGGTCTCAACATCTCCAGCCCAATCACTGTCTGTGTACCCAACAAGTTTCACAGATTCATTAGTAGAGTTAAAAATTCCATCATTACTCGTACCTTTGACATATCTCAGAATTCGCTTTGCCGCAACCCAATGTGATTCTTTTGGTTTCTCCATGAATCTGCTAAGTATTCCAACTCCAAAAGAAATATCTGGCCTTGTTGCCACCAGATACCTCAAACTTCCAATTAAGCTTTTATAAGCTGTAACATTCACATTCTTACCATACTCATCTTTGGATACCTTTAACTTTTCAGCTAACGGAGTTGAAACTGGTTTGGAGTTTTCCATTTTGAACTTTTTCAAAATATCAGCAGCATACTTCTTTTGTTAAATAAAGATTCTACCATCATCTGAACAACCTCAAGGGCAAGAAAGTAAGACATAAGACCCATATCAGTCATTTCAAACCTCTTAATGAGTGCCTCCCTGAATTCTAAGATAAGTTTCAAGTTGTTTCCAGTAAAAACCAGATCATCAACATATAGACAGATTAGAACAATATCACTAGAATCCGTGCATTTAACATACAAAGTGTGTTCATGAGGACATCTCATAAAACCACTTTCAACAAAATATGAGTCAATGCAACCATACCACGCCCTAGGCGCTTGCTTTAAGCCATACAAGGCTTTTCTCAACCTGTACACTTTATTTTCCTCCCCTTTCTTTAGAAAACCGGCAGGTTGCTCAACATATATTTCTTCTTCAAGAAAACCATTTAAAAAAGAAGACTTGACATCCATTTGATGCAATTTCCAATCATTTTGAGCAGCAAGAGAAATAACCATTTGAACTGTATCAAGTCTACTTACTGGAGCAAAACCTCAAAATAATCAATACCTGGTTTGTGCTTATAACCCTTTGCTACTAACCGTACTTTAAAACGATCAATTTCTCCATTTGACTTGTATTTCATTCTGTAAACCCACTTTACTCCAATTGGCTTCTTTCTAGGAGGTAAATCTGTTAACTCCCAGGTACCATACTTTGCAATGGCATGTATCTCCTCATCCATTTAAAAAAGAAGACTTGACATCCATTTGATGCAATTTCCAATCATTTTGAGCAGCAAGAGAAATAACCATTCGAACTGTATCAAGTCTACTTACTGGAGCAAAACCTCAAAATAATCAATACCTGGTTTGTGCTTGTAACCCTTTGCTACTAACCGTACTTTAAAACGATCAATTTCTCCATTTGACTTGTATATCGTTCTGTAAACCCACTTTACTCCAATTGGCTTCTTTTTAGGAGGTAAATCTGTTAACACCCAGGTACCATACTTTTCAATGGCATGTATCTCCTCATCTATTGCCTTAAGCTAATGAGTTTCTATAGCAGCCTCCTCAAATGATAAAGGATCACAATCTGCAAAGAGAGCAAATTGAGCAATCTCTTCATTAGACAGGTCATTATCATGACCCAAAACATTATCCTGCAAGTGAGCTGGTAAGTGGCGCTCGCGTTGAGATCGTCGAACTGACGACTCTAGCTGTGAAGGAGACTGAACATTATTTGGAATCGGTTGCTCGTCAACAATATTTTCAACAGCAGGAATAACAACTGAACTTTCATCTTTAGCTAACCAATCCCAAGCACCATATTCATCAAAAGTGACATCACGACTTATAACAACCTTTTTAGTTTTAGGATTGTATAGTTTATAAGCATTGGAAGCGTCACTATAACCAATGAATACGCACTTCTCACCTTTATCATCCAACTTCTTTCTCAATGGATCTGGCACATGTGCATATGCCAAACATCCAAAAACCTTGAGATATTTGATAGAGGGTTTTTTCCCACTCTAAGCTTCTTCGGGTGTCTTATCACGGACACTTTTAGTTAGACACCTATTCAACACATAGACCGCACAAGCAACAGCTTCTGCCCAAAAAGGCTTAGGCAGATTCTTGGATTTCAACTTGCATCTCACCATATCCATGATAGACATATTCTTCCTCTCAGCCACTCCATTTTGTTGTGGAGTGTATCTAGCTGTCATCTCGTGTTGGATACCCTTCTTCTTCAAAAAATTATCACAAGCAATATATTTTGTACCTCTATCAGTTCTCAAGATTTTAATTTCATAATCACTTTGCTTTTCAACAAAAGCCTTAAATTGTTTGAAAACATCACATGCTTCATGTAACACCTCCGATTTTCAACAACTTTTAAATCTTAATTTAAAGGGATTAACAGTCTAAACATCAACATAAGGAAAGCGGAAGCTAACTAAACAAACCAGAAGGTGCTATGCCACACCTATATCAAACATAGGTGCACAGGCAGATACTACAACTACAGCAGTCTAACAACTCAACTACTTAGGCTCACAGGCCTCAACAACTATTAAAGGAAGAGATAAAACTATCTACAGGCCACTAGCGCGCTCTCCGAAGCTACCCAACCTGTAAATCAACAAATAGAAATGGGACGACGCCCGGTCAGCGAATAATGCTGGTAACCCACCAATACATGTGAAATATCATACATATGTAAGATATAAGTTTATAAAGCCATTTTCGAAACAGACTATATATATATAAGTCAAAAACCAAGAGTAATAGTCAACACAAGACTCAACGCTCTCAACAAGAATACAGGAACACATCCCAAGACCACAAGGAACAACAACGACTCACAAGAAGGCTCAAGGCATGATCTATCATCACACAATAGATCAAAACCCGACATGCACAATGCACAGGAATAAGACTCACCCACGGCAACACATGCCAATGCAACACTTGCCTTTGTGACTACACATGTCACAAGAGAAGAACTCACAACAACGGCTACACGAGCCCTCGTGACATCACTCATCACGAGTTGATATGCCTTCCTTATGCCCGGTTCCAACCTTATGGCTACCCCCAACCTTATTTCTTCTTCCAACCATTACCTCCAGGACCCCTGTACAATCAAGTCCAACCTTTTCCTTCCTGGGACCGTGTCCCCCGCCAACGACCACCAACGAGACCACCAATTTCATAGTACACGAGGGTACCGTACACACACACGGCAACACATGCCACCCAAGAATCACGTGAACCTTACACAAAGGTCACAACTCCATAATCACGTCACGGCCACCACTAGGACCGCTGCAATACCTTGGTGACTAGTGTCCCATACCACTAATCGTGCAATCCAGGTAAAGCCACACACACCACACCACAACAGGAATCAATCAACGGATCACAACGAAGATATGAAACCATACTCAATCAAGGAATGGGTCACAGCCCAACAACATCAACGATGAATAACACAAGTTATCATCAACCAATAAGAAGGTACGAACAACACACACGCTAGCATTTAAACACCGAACTAGCATGCTCATCAAACGGGTAAACCAAACGTAGTTCCGAAGAACACACAAGACTCATCACGGTTCAACGAAACACAATGTTGAACACTTAGCACGATTCATGAAACCAAATCCTACAAGGATTCCTACCATATAGTTCTAGACATACGAAACATCAAGAAGACGCTCAAATAGTTCCACAAAAGAACACCGGGAAGTCCAAAGACCAAATACCGAGTCAAAAGAATCACGGGGAACAAATCCCCGCACAACCAACATATGTACCCCGCGGGCGGGCCCACGGGTAGGCCCCTACCCGTGGTCCTGCCCGCGGGTACAGGCCCTTCAACAACGTGTACCCCGCGGGTGGGCGGCGGGTTGGACCCCTACACGCCGTTCCGCCCGCGGGTACACCCCTGTACCACAACAAAACACTTCGCGGATTTTCATCTCCAAACTCAAATTCAAGTCCAAAACATGCCAAATCTCACCCAATACAACAAAATGATTTGAATCAAAGGAATAGCCAAGCAATGGCATACAAGAACCCTAAACACAAGCTTTAGATATGCATTTTCACAAGGCAATGCATAAACACTCACATTTCATAGCAAAACACATGTAGAATCCAAGAAATATTCACATAGGTAAGCAAAATAGATTTTATAAAGCATGGGTTACCTCAATCGCTTATCCAACCAAAAACTGAGAATTAAATCGGATCTCAACTATTAACAAACGTACTAATTAAAACTAATTAAACTTAGAAAGGGATTTGAACTCTAGTCCTTCCCTAAATTACCCACCAAGTCTAACCATCTAGGGTATGTGTTCTATTGGAAATTAAATCACAACATTAAACACTAATAGATTAGTTAATTAACCAAGACTTAATATTAAAACCATTAATTAACTAATATGAGTTTAAGTAAGGTTTGATTGAACCTTAGCCAAACACTAACACAACCACCCATCTTACCACTAGACTAAGCTACCTATTAATAACTTAATTAAATGAGAACCTACTTAACACTAAACAAGCAAGGTAAACAAGGTAAGAGCTCACCATCCGCCATCTTCTTCTTCGTTTCTTCATGCAAAGCCGCAGGTGGAACACGGGTAGGTTCACCACCCGCCGGCACCTCAACATCCCAGCTGCAACTCTAACACCCTCTAAGTCCAACGCACTGCCGGAAGCTCGCCTGGGAAGGGAAGGACGCCACTGCCGGGCTCCGTCGTCTCCGCCGCCGTCACGCATTGCCGCTGCCACGAACCTCGCACCACTGCCGATGCTGCTTTGAACGTCGAAAGCAGAGGAGAAGCTCTGTACGCCGTAGAAGAACTCAAGGTGATGATGCCTCACGTTGGTCAGCGCTCCTCTCCACCGTGAACGCCTTACAACGCCGTCGTCGAGAACCAGCCTCGCCGGACCGTTTCTGGGAGACCAGACCACCACCGCCGGTCCTTCTCCGCCTCGCATTGCTGCCGTCAACCATGGGAGGTGGATAGAGATCGATGATAGCTGAAACTCTGTCGTTGCCATCAATCTTCACCATCACGCCCCTTGCTGCTTTGGCCGAGAAGAGAAAACGAGAAAGAGGGGGTTTTAGGCTCGCCGGAAAACCGAAAGGAAGAGAAGGGAAAGAGAAGATGTGATTGCTCATGCGGCTTCTCACCACCACTGCTTCGGATAGAAGAAAGCGAGGTAACGAAATGGAAGGAGGGCGTTTGGCTGATGCATGGAGAAAGATACCTCACAAATTATTTCCTATGCCACTAGATTGGTAGGGTTACCCTATTTAGATTGGGTTGGACTAAGAATAGCTTTTGGGCTCAACTTGATTTAGATAGATTGGGTTGAGTAACATAGGTTGGGCTTAAACACTTTAGGCTCACAAAATATTAATACTTATATTTATACATATTTATGGGCTCAACTTGTGGGGTTCAAGACTTATATAATATTTATAGTCCTAGGATGAATAAGCACTTGGGCTCTAAGAATAATTATTAGGCCTTAGGGATTAAAAACCATTTTGGGTCTAGGCATATTTTGTACAAAATTATTGGTTCACCATAATAGGTAGACCCGAGCCCGTTTTAAAATAAATAGCTATATAAATATTTTTATTAAAATATTTACTATCGGGACTATAATTTATTTTTAGGAAAATACGGGGTGTCACACGTCAGACTTTTGCTTCAGAAAGTAAACCAATGTTTTCCTACTGAAATGATCAATGAAAGTAATAAAGTACTTACAACCTCCATGTGAGGGAACCTCCAACGAACACAGGTCTGAGTGAATAATCTCCAACTGTTTTGTGGCTCTCCTTGACTTGCCCACGGGGAAGGGATCTCTATTCTTCTTCCCAATCACACAAATCTCACATATACGATCAGGGACATTCACAATAGGTTAATCAGAAACAAGTTCCTTTCTCCAAAGATAGTTTAACCCAGAGAAATGAAAATGCCCAAACCACATATGCCATAACCAATTATCATCACAAACTTCATAATTAAAGCAAGCAAGGAGGGTATGCTTAATTTTCAAAGGAAATAGTCGATTTTGGGACATATTTACCTTTACAATCAAAACTCCCTTAGCACCTGCAATGGTACAACACCCCTAAGTAATATTTATCTTATATCCTTTTTCTGACAATTGTCCCATACTCAACAAATTTTGGTGTAGTTCAGGAACATAATACATATCAGATATAAAATTGTGAGTACCATCCTTCAACTGAATAGAGATTTTACCTTTTCCCAAAATTGGCACTTTTGACTTATTGTCAAATGTCACTTCAGACCGAACTGACTCATCCAGTTCAGAAAACAATTCTTTCTTCCCACACATATGGTTACTACATCCAGTATCCAAGAACCATATGTTCTTATCTGCAGAAAAACTATCGCTGGCCAAAAGTAAGGTTTCAGAACTCTCACCAGACTTTTCAACAATGTTTGCTTGATTTTCACGATTGTTGTCCTCATTATACCAACAATCTGCAATCTTGTGCCTATACTTGCCACAATTGTAGCAATGAAATGGAAATTTACCTTGTTTGGTATTACCTCCACCTCTTCCTTGGTTGGAGTTACCACGTCCTCCTCCTTGGTTGAAGTTACCACGACCTCTTCCACTATAACCTCCTCTTCCTCTTCCAAGACCTTTACCAGATCCTCCACCTCTTTGATTAGTGCCAGTCACATTAAGGGAAACTTGACTCTTCAAAGCTTCTTCAACTAGTGGTTCTGATTTTGACGCAATTCTGTCAATATGACTTCCTACCATACCTTTCAGCTCTGCAATTGATAAGAGATCAGTTTTTTGTAACTCTGTGATCGAAGCCACCACATGGTCATACTTCATCGGCATAGTTCGAAGAACTTTTTCAACCACTGCACCATCTTCAATTGAATCTCCGTATAACCTCATCTTATTCACCATATCAATAAGACGAGTGAAATACGTATCTACTGTTTCTGTAGAGGTCATCTCACAATTATCGTACAACCTTCTCAACTACTGCAACTTAGACTTCTGTGCCCGATCGACCCCTTTGTTTGACACATTTAAGATGTCCCAAGCTTGCTTTGCTGTTTGAGCACGGGCTAATTGCCCAAAAATGAGTAATGAACACCTTGGTGAATCTGACCCAAGGCCAATTGATCTCGCCTTGTAGCAGTTGCATCAGCTTCTTCGGGTAGACCGGGATCAACAAAGCTCCAAAGATTTTGAGCTTTCAAATGTGTGGACATCATAATTTGCCAATAATTGTAATCGAGTTTCCCGTCCAATTTGGGACCCGACCATACAATATTGAAATTTGTTGTCATATTTCACTACGCGAAATATCTCGGGGTTGAAAGGTTGACTGGCTCTAATACCAAATGTAAGATAGATATATTATATTATATTTAATATATATTATATTAAATATATTATATTTAATATATCTTACAACTATCCATGTTGACTTTTCTTCGAAGATAGATATTATGATGACACACATCATTCTTGGTAGTGGAGCCTAGTATCTCTTTTCTAGTAGATATTTCAGCAGACACTCTCTTGAGTAACCATATCAATGGTTTTTATTTGGTTTTTGTCAAATGTAAAATTTAGAGTTGATCGTTTAATTTATTGATGTGGTGTCACTACTGAAAATTATGAAATTTCTGATCACCTGAAAGTGATCTTAAATCAAGTTGAAACTAAAAAGTGGTCGGAAATAGCAACAAAGGTTTTTTCGGATACCAAAAGTGATCGGAACAAGGCTTTCGACTTGATTTAAAATCACTTTCAGGTGGTCGGAAATTTCATAATTTTCAATAGTGTGTATGGTTTTTAAGCTGTTTTTTTGTTTTTTTTTTTCTGTGCAAGAACTAGTTTTTTGTGGGTCCTATTAGAAAGAGAAAGGGAGAAAGTAGTCTCTCTTTACGGGTGTGTTGCGGAAATCCGCGCGCAGCTGAGCGCATGCACTCCATGCGCCAGCTGGGCACATTAGGCGTGCTTTATTTATTTATTTAGATGTCGGCTTTGATATTTTCTTTTCTTTTCTTTTTCTTTTTTTTTTCTTCCCTCTTCTTTCTCTATCCTAATGTCACTGGAAAACCCCAATAAAGTTCAAAACAGGTGTGGTTGCTCTTATGTTTACTAGGAGTTGGAGTAGAAGATTATGCCATTTTAATTTATCTCTACATTGATTCGAGCAAATGTCTATGAATCCTGACCTTGATGTGTTTCCTAAATACTCTCAGTAGACTTTATTCGTTCTTAACTATTGACTCTAATGGTAAATATTCCTTTGATGAATTTGGCATCTGATCACTGCTGGAAATTTGCCTTTTTCTGACCACATTTCGACCACCCAAAAAATTGGTCGCAGAAAGTGAATTTTGTTTTTATTTTTTCGACAAAGAGTTATAGTGGTCGAAAAGTGGTCGGAAATTCCGACCAATTTTCTTACGTCGTCGGAAACTTTTCCCCAAATTTAATTTTTTGTTCGCCCAAACACAATATGTCGTCGCTTAATAAAAAATAAAACATACTTCGCACGCCTTCACTCAGCCCAAACATAAAACACACTTCGAACGCCGTCGCTCAGCAGAACCAAACACTTCCCACCTCTGCACGTTGTCGTTCCCGCTCCTGCCTCCGCTGTATCTCAGACTTCTCTTCGCCGTCACTCCCAACTCCGGCGCTGTCTAAGCCTCTCTTTGCCATCGTCGCTCCCACCTCCTCCGACGTCTCAGCCTGCACCAAAGTTTCTACCGTTGTCGCCTCTTCCCGACTCTACCGCGGTCTCCACCACTATCCTACAGGTTAGTCCTCTAATCTTAAACCCTAATCCTTAATTTCCTAATTCTATTGAGCAGACCTATGGCTACTTCTTAGGAGCGGCGTGAGTAGATCAGCGTGAGGCATTTTCTTTTCTCTTCTTTCATTTTAGGGTTTAGGTACTTTTTTGTGACATACATATATTTATGAGCTGAATGGAGTTTTATGCTTTACTCTTATTATTTTAGTCTACTGTGGATGAGGAGATAAGAATATCGCCAATTTCAATCACTCATTTCAAAATGTAATTCAGAAAATATCCAGGTTTATTTCGGCATACCAATTCTGATTAAGTATAGTGTTACTGTATAAATTAATATTTGTGTGTGAATTTCTATAGGCCGAAAGACAAGAAGAAGGGGAGAAGTTACATGTTTCAGCATAGCCATGTTCGCCACTATGGCTTCTCTCTATGTCGTCGGTTGGTGAGTTATACTCCTTAGCTTTTTCAAGAGCTTCTTCTGAGTTTTAAATCCCTTCGAATTCGTTAATTACCTCATAAATTAAAAAGGACTTCACTGCTGGATTTAATTTTTTTCGAGCTGAATTGCTGGATCTAGGAAAGCTTAAGCGTCCCGTTATTTAATTTGTTTTGTTTTTATGCTTATAAACTTATATGCTTTAATTCATTTGATTGGCAATCTCACCTTCACCCAATTTCACAGTTGTACGTGCAGAAAGTTAATTTTGATAAACATTATTATTGTTTTTATTTTTTTTTTATTTTTTTTTTTGTGGAGCAGTTTATGGATAGATGCGGAAAACAGAGTTTACTTGACAAAAGAGCTTGATAGGATAACTGGTCAGGTATCTACATTTTCATAGTCGTTCTTTCCGAGAAGATGGATTTTCTCATGAGCTAATTTGCATTAACATGATTGCTGGTTTCTTGAAATGCTATTTCTTATGGGATTGTCTGTGTTTGCATACTTTTCTCTACTGTAAATTATGAACAATCGCTAGTGGATGACATCATATTATCTCTTGTTATGCTATTTCTTATGGCCTTGATAATAGCTTTTCCATACTGAATTATTTACTACTCCATACCTTTGTAGTAACATCCATTATTTGTTGTTTATCTATGCATTAACAAACAGGAATAATAAATGTATCACTTATAGTGCTTAAGTTGACTATATTTTCTTCTTCATTATTAGGGACAATCTGCAATCTCTGTAGATGACACTTGGAAGATCATAGAGTGCAGGTAGGCAAAACTTCTGAGCAGTAAGTTGACAGGAAAACTTGCTCAGTAATTAATGTTTAGAACCTTAGCATCTGCATAAGTGTTTGATCTCATTTGTGATTATTATTAATAAATATTTAAAGACTTGCCTTTGCTTCAAATTGACATGGCCATAAATGGTATGAACCAGATTGGTGGAAATTTGGTGATGGAAAATTGTAAGCCACATTTTGACACTATTGTCTGTTGAATTTCCATTTGGCAGCCAACTGTAATGCCATCTGTGATTATTCTCTGTTCTATATCCTTGTTGGCTTTGTGTAAAATTTCCGCAGGATGTATTACTCAAATTAGAGATTAGTTTTAGCAATTTCTCTGTTTTCTTAATGCCTCTTGTTTTGGATCCATTAGCCTGTCCTTAACGTCTGTATCAGTGGTTTTTTGCTCCTCTTGCTCTGTTATTTAACTTATTTTACACATCAGGCATAGGGGTTGTTCTTCTCAACTATGTGTTTGTGTGTGTGCTTTTTTTTTTTTAAACTTTTAATTGTAATTACAGAGAATGCCATGGCTGAGCTACGGAGATTGCTAATATACGAAGCTTCAAGAGATTGGTTGGTGAGTTACATTGGGTCATTGGGATGCATGTTTTTTTCACAATTGCTTCTGAATATGAATATTTATTATATAATGAATGAATATAGTAACTGAGTGTAATAAATTGAATAAAAACTGGACTTTTAATTTCCAATTTAGGCTACTGATGTTTAGTCTCTACTGTTTGTTATGTTCAGCTAACCTTATTATTGTGCTTTTGTAACACCTGCTCCTTCTAGGACATTTATTGTCTGAAATGCTCATTTAACTAGTTTTCACCATTATTTCCAGCCAACCAAAACAGCCCAAGATTCAAACACCGGTGGCTATTGCCTCTGTTGAGTTTATTGATCCAAGTGAACCTGTTGTGGTTAGTATTTTAAGTTCTGCATCAGTGCTGTATATACTTGGGCACATTTTTCTTGTTTCTATGTCCTCTTCAAAACTGGTCCCTGAATATCTCCTAACATTGATTTCCCTTCATTATATGTTTAATTAATTTTCTATCTCCTACTTACAGATTGTTCCCATCTTGAGAGCTGGCCTAGCTCTTGCTGAGCATGCATCATCAATCCTGCCTGCAACAAAAATTTATCATCTGGGTAAGTGACATTTAGGGGTTGAAAGGAGGAGGATTTATAACATTGTGAATGTTCTTGAAAGTGTTGGTGTAAGATCTTCTAAATTGGCATTAACTTCATCTTTGGATCCAATCAATTACTTGGATTACTGACGTTGTCTTCTTATTTTTGCTTGACCTCGATTTTCAGGTTCTTTCAATGAAGGCAAAGAATATGTATACTTAGAAAGGGTTTGAAGCAATTCCTAGAGCTTTTCAAGAACAGAAGGTAACAAGACATATTAGCTTAGCTTGCAGCTTGAACTTAGCAAGAAATTATCAATTCTATTTTCTTTTCTCATATCAATTCAATAAATTTGATAATGGGACAGGACGAAGGTCTAAATGAGAGCATTAGTGCATATAGTGGAGATGTCTCTGTCCAAGTATGTGTCTTTAATTTGAATTCTAAAATGCAATCTTTGTATATATGCAGATAATTGTTCCTAATTCTCTATTTATTTTTGCAATACAACATATTTAGTGTTTCCTGATTTCAATGTCTACAGGTTTCAGATGATGAAGAAGATGGCAGAGAGAAATCAGCCATTTCTATTCCAAGCTGGCAGGCTCCTCTAAGCCTGGTAATTTCATAATAAGAAATCTGATTCCTTTTTTATCATTTGATGCCAAATTTTTGGATGTTTCTACTGAAATTATGCTATTTTAGATTATTACTAGTGATTTACATAATTGATGTATGGTTTTATACTTTGACTACCAATGTTTTTTATGCTTGAGATTTAGAGCTACAATTTGATGATACAATGATATCAAATATGATGTTTTGTGCACAATATTCTCTTTTAGATCTTGACTAATCAATTAGGCTGCATTCATTTCAATCCTCCATCCTGGATGGTGAAACAATTGCTACACCTTGATTTAAATGATTGGCTAATTCATTTGATATTTGTAGAATTTTAATTTTTTTTTTTTTTAGTAAATCTTACCGATCACCTAGTGGTCGGTAATTCAAAAATTTTAATTTTTTAATTGTAAATCTTACCGACCACCGGTAGATGGTAATTCCGACCAATTACCGACCACCAGTGGTAGGAAATATGCTCTCTTTATCCGACAACTAATAGCTCCGACGTCCTAAAAAAGAAGCCGGTATTTCCGACCACCTTGACTAGTTGTCGGTAATAGCTAGGGTCTTTTTTTTGAATCCATAAAGTGGTCGGTAAGTTGGTCGGAAACTGCATTTTCGACCGAAAATCACTCTTTTCCGACCACTTTTTGGTGGTCGGAAAAATGCAGAATTCCAGCAGTGGATGTTGCTTCATGTTTAATATTTTAGTATAATTTGTTTGTCTTTATACTACTTATGTGTCATTTGATTATCTGTTGGATTTGAGGTCTACTAACTTGGAACCTTTGCTAATAAAATCTCCTCTTCAACTTCTTTTTTTTTTTTTTTTTTTTTTTTTTTTGTTTTTTTGTTTAAGCCTTTTGTAAGATATAGTGTTTATTGTTCCCTTCAAGTTTGTCAAATGTATGCCATTATTGGATTAGTTGTTAAAAAAAATAGCTTAAAATGGCATATTAAGTGGCTATTTTGTGGTACAATTATCAGTGGGGGTCCACTTCCGATTTGGGTCTGGTCAAAGTGGATTCGGGTTCTTCATAGTGAGACAAAGAGATTGATATATTGTACGCTCAAAACGGATAATGGGTGAATGAGATATTGATTCTCAAAGTAGACCCATTTGAGTTGGAAAATGAAGGGAAAAAGTGAGCTTTTGTCCCACATTGGTTTGGAAAGAGGATTTGACCCCCCCCCCCCCCGCCCTTTATACAAGAGCTCTTTTGGAGCTTGTAGAATTGTATAGCATAGAGGCTCTCTCGCGCGGGGGGGGGGGGGGGGGGGGTGTGCAAATCAAATTCCAACTAGAAACGAGATCGAAAAGGCTTGATTCAAGCTCGAGCTCGTGTGCGCCGGCATCTGCGGGCACGAATGTCGTCCGAAAATTGACAGGGCTTGCACGCTAAGTTATGCCAAACTGCGGTATAGTCACTTGGTTCGGCCGAAACCGACCGAGAGCGAGCATGCGGCCTTTCAAGGCCGAACCTTGTACTCTCGTGTCCTGAACAACGAACTTGCACCCCAACGGTCTGGAACCCGAAAGTTTAGCCTGTTGTGAAGATTAAACTCATCTGTTACGATATTAATATTGTTTTAATTCCAACTGTTACAGGTGTTACACAATTGGTTTTAATACCAATTTAATGGCCATGTTGAATGCTATCAGTCCAACAGCCCTCCCTATATAAAGAGAGGTAGAGCAGTAGCATTTTACACACAACAGAAATTAAAGGAATTCCAGTACATTTTAGCTACAAAACTTCTGCTTCTACTCTCTTCTTTAGCCAAACAGTGTTCTTGCTTTGCTTTGTTTGCCGAGTTCTTTGTTTGGGTGCTTAAACAAAGAATCGTAGCACGTTTTATCCTGGGAAACCTAGGCTACAACGCTCCTAGCACTTGTGGGAGGTAGCAAATGAGGTTTTAAGGAAAAGAACAATTTGTTCAAACTCGTGCTAACCTTTACCCAAATATTCCACCTTTTCCTTCCCAATCTTTTTCTTGTTTTCCCATATATTAATAATCTTTCTGTAGGATTATTATTTTGGGATTTTTCCACCTTATTACCCAACAATAGTTAAGTCTGCAATTGGTATATATGTTTCACTACTGGAAATTGTTGAATTTCCGACCACCTGAAAGTTATCTTAAATAGAGTAGAAAGTATTGTTCCGACCACATTTGGTATCCGGAAAAACCTTTGTTGCTATTTCTGACCACTTTTTGATTTCAACTTGATTTAAGGTCACTTTTAGGTGGTCGGAAATTCCACAATTTTCAGTAGTGTTTACAGCTTGAGCATATATATGATTTGCTTTCTCTGGTTGCTAGATTTAATGTTTCATTAAATTACAAATCCTATTTTTTTTTCTGTTTACACATTTTTTTGCAAATAAAAAACTACATATTATTTTGGGGGTTCTAAAATTCTTTTACAATTCATAGTTAATATTATCAAAATTTATGAAAACATTATTCCTAACAATGAGTTCATTTCTCTCTTCTTAACAACATAACTTGATATGTACTTTAGCAAACCATAGAGGAAACTAACAAGAAAATCACTATAGTTTCTCAAAGAATTCAAAAGAGAGTGAAGAATATAATAATACACGAGGAAGGCACATGAGATCTATCCCAACTGCACTATGGGTATTTCCACTAATGTTCTTAGAGTGCACATGGACAAGAATATAATCCAAGTTAACAAATTAATGTGTCAAGGTTAAAGCTACATATTTGGATCAATTGATTGTCATTAATTAATCGGGCATCCATTTGGACACCTTACCATTAAATACATATTAACCAAATTCAACTTATTTGATAAGTGTCCTATACTCATACTTTTCCTTACACTTTTTAGTGTTACTGTATCCTACTTATTATCATATTAAGCCAATTTTATCACCTATTGAATTATCGATTGTTCTTAGGTGATGACGTACTTGACAAGAAAATTAAATGATGTTTTGAGTCAAACATTGAACTATTTGATCAAATTTTCAAGTTATAATAGCATAAGGATATTTTTGTAAAGAAAAATGAATCAAAAAAGATTGAGACAACACTTTTTCTTGTGTCAAATATTTTTTGCTTAAATGGTCTTGATGATATAGGCAATTCAATCCAAAGGCAAAGTAAAAGAAAGTAAGGTGACATTTCTCACTCAAATTGGCATCTTCTTAGTATTTCGATCATAATTCCATGTAGAAAGATCTGATTCGAGTACTTCAAACGTCATTGAAAAGCTAACTTAAAAATATACAAGGGAAAATGACACTTTTTCCCCCTATGTTATATACTTATAGCACTTTTTCCCCCTCAATTATTTAAGTGGCTCTTTTTCCCCCTGAAATGTTAAATGGACATATTTACCCTTAAAATAAATATTTCATTTATTTTTATTCTCCAATAAATTATTACTATAATTTGGTTCAAACCAGATATTATAGTAACCAAACCAAAATATTCCAATTACAGTTTATAATCAAAACGCGATATTTAGAGTTTATTAAAATCGCGAACTGGAATGGCCGGTTCATGTTCCGAACTGAAAAAATAAAATATATTTATTGTTGAATTTAAACTATTTTAAAATAAAAAATAAAATTTTAAAATATAGACAGTTCAAAATCGCGAACGGGATCCGGAACCGCCGGTTCATGATCCAGTTTTTTTTTTTTTATTCTTAAATTTAATAAATTGAAATCCAAATATTGGGTTCTAGATCTGAATCATAACTGAAACTTTTAATTCGATTGCTGTAGTGTCTGGTTCAGTTCGAACCGAACCGTGGTAATCGCAACATATACGCAATAATTTGTTGGAGAAGTAAAATAAATAAAATGTTTACTTTAAGGGTAGAAATGTCAATTTAATATATTAAGGGGGAAAACCACCACTTTTAAAATAATTGAGGGGGCTAATGTATTTACATAAATAATTGAGGGGGAAAAAGTGCTATAAGTATATAACATAGGGGGAAAAAGTGCCATTTTCCCAATATACAACTTCTATGAAAACCATAAAGGCTAATTGAAAGGTTTTAGGAGTGGAAAATAGTTTATAAGAGAAATAAGCTGCACAGGAATTCTGTTTGGTAGGAATGAACACAGGCGTGGTCGTGCCTATGCCCATGCCTATGACACAATACATTCTGTATCCATGTTTTCTTTGCCACGGGCTCAACCGTGGCCATGTGTATGCCTGTGCCTAGCACTCCTGCCCAAATGTAATTACCATTTGACTTAATTTTGAAGGGAACTCACCATCCTTTTATTCCATTATTTCAATTTCCTCTCATTTGGTGATTAGTTTTAGCATTAGTTTAGTTTAGATTAGTGTATATTTCATGTTCAGCTTCAATTCCAAACTCAAGAACATTGTAATTTTTTATTGCAACATTTCCCATAGATAAGTTTTCTTATTTCATGCATCTATTTCATTGCTTAGCACTTATTCACTTCACTAGTATTTCATATTCACGATGCGCAAAAATATATGCTCAATATTAATACTTGATATTAAAATGTTTTTTTTTTAAAAAAAATAATACATATATATATATATATATATATATATATATATATATATATATATATATATATATATATATATATATGAAAAGGTTCAAATGCGGCGTGGCCTTCCCGTGCGCTCGTGCGGCGGTTTTCAGAATACACCGATAGTGTTAACAATATGCACCAATAGTATAAGAGAAACACACAACAATGAAATGTAGAAATACACCAAAAAATACACAACACACCAAAAAACATACACCATATATCTCCCTACCATTAATGGTGTATTTCCGAACACTGTGTGGTGCATTTAGTCATACCTAATGGTGTATTATTGGTGATGCATACCTAATTTGTGTGTGTTTTTGTAGTGCATTTCCTAACGTTGATGGTGAATATCTTGCTTAACTATTGGTGTATTCTGAAAAGCGGGTGCACGACCGCACGAGAAGGGGTCGCCGCACCTGAACTCGACACTCTATCTATCTTTCTCTCTCCCCCCCTCTCTCTCTCTCTCTCTATATATATATATATATATATATATGTATATATATATATATATATATATATATATATATATATATATATATATATATATGTATATGTATATATCTATACATATATATATATATATATATATATATATGTATATATATATATATATATGTATATGTATAGATATATA